GACTTTTTGATTTTTTTGGTGGTATCATTTTTCACAAGACAAACTTCATGCAAGTACATGCAAGCACAGATCTTGCTAAATGCCATTTCTTTTTCCTTCCTCTTAAAACAACAACAACAACCAGTCTTTAGTTACAGCCACATGAGACTTGGTAGCCCAATAACTGATCTTCGTGCATATCCCTTTTGTTTGCCTTAGCATTTCCAGCTGCTGAGATTACTGGAATTTGCTGCTGTGCCCAGCTTACATTACACTTTAAGAGGTACCCCAAGAACACATGAAGAGAAACTAAACCCTCAGCTCATAGGCCCTAGTTTTTTCAGATATTTTATCAGCTCCTGCCCTATCCTGAGATCTCATATTTTTTAACTTGAAATCAGCTATGATTGGAATATATACAACACAAAAACTATAAAATTATTTGTGACTGGACATGAATGGAATATTTATACCCCAGAGCTTGGAAATCTTACAAATCAGTCCTTTATGTTTTCTGTAAGAGAGTTGTTAAAATATACCAGAACAAGGCTGGAGTTGTAGCTCAGTGGTAGAATGTAGAAGGAGGCCGCTTGTTCATTCCAGCTGCCAGGACCAAAATAACCACACATAAACTATATTATTTAAAAACATTGTTTGATCCATTAGCTCTACCTTCTTATTGGCTAACTCTTACATCTTAATTTAATCCATTTCTAGTAATCTGTGTAACACCACGTGGCTGTGGCTTACCGGCAAGATTCTAACCAGTGTCTGTCTCTGGCAGGGCTATATGGCTTCTCTCTGACTCTGCCCTTCTCTCTCCCAGCATTCAGTTTAGTTTTCCCTGTCTACCTCTATTAGTTTGCCCTATCAGGCCAAACCAGTTTTCTTTATTAATTAACCAATCATATTCAAAGCAAACAAAAGGGACTCCCACATCAATAGAATATTTGTTTGGTGTGACTAAGGTTTTGAGTTTTACTGCCAGTACTACATGGTCCCAACCACAGCTTATGAACGAATTGACAATATGACCAGCAGTTCTTGTTGGCACACACCTTTCTTTAATGACTTAGAGCTATAACATTTGCCCCATATAATCAAATGACAGGTTAAATGATTACTATGAACACTGGAAATAATGGAAAACTTGTGTATTTTTCATTCCTAGAAGAATTGAAGTCTGTGTTAGAAGGTAAGATGTGACCACAAGATTCTCTTTTTTATTTGACGAAAGAACTGAGAATTGGAAGTGCCGCAAGGCTTGTTTTGCAACAATTTGGGGACAGTGGGAATACAGAAAAGTTTGTGACATCTACAAGAAGGCACACTTCTTTCCGAGTCTGAGGAAGACTTCGTCTTTAATTGTGTAGAGTTGCCATAAAACAAACAGACCACATGGGCAAGACTGAAAATCCTGTCTGTGAGAACTATAGAGATAAGATGCTGAAAGCTATTTGAAAGGGACATTACAGAGGAGGCACAGATGATAGAGTCTTATTTTCATATTCCCATGACTGATGTGATATGCTGAATAATCTCAGGTCATCCCTTGATCAGTCAGTTTGTCCATTCTCAAAAGGTCTTTGCCTGATACTGTGTGAGTTTGGCAGGGAGGAACACCAACCGTTAAAAAAAAATCATCCAAATTCCTAAATAAAAGCTCCACCCAGAAGTGCATGGAGCACTTTGGTGTTCTGTTCTAAAATTAAATGTTTTCGCTCATCTAAGAGGAAGTAAACATTTCGCCGGTGTCTTATGCATGATTTCAGAGGCTAACATTTATCAGGATAATGTACTTCACTTCAGCATTTCCTGGTCACTGGAAGTGAAGTGTATCAGCAAAGTGCAACAGGCGTGAGGATCTTAAGCAGTGGGAAAGACGTTCAAGTGGGACACCCTGTTTACTGATGGGAACCGTAAGTACTTCCTCCACATCCTAGTGTAAACCCTGCAGATAGAATAACAGGAAGTTCTCAGGCCAGCAAAACATGGCACCTGCGCAGTCTGTTTCGGTCAATCAGCAGAGGCTGGGACTGGTGCAACAACTCCAGCATTTTCACTGAGTAATGAAAATCAGGCTAAAGTTAACATTTTGTCCATTATTCATATGGGCATGGTGCTGTGTAAAAATAGTCAGTTTTTCTTTTAAAAATTATCTTATTTAAAATTACTGAAACATGGGCTCGAGGTAGAAGTTGATTGGGAGAATTCATGCTGACTTGATGTGAATGAAGTCCTGTGTTCTATCTATTCCCAGGACTGCAGAAACCCAGAGTTGTGATGGTGGTGGCGGTGCCATGCTCCTGCCATCCTTGCACTAGGGGGGTGGAAGCAGGAGGGTCAGAAGCTCAAGGTCCTCCAAGGTCCCATAGCAAGTTTGAGTCCAGCCTACCATTCATGAGATCCTATCTCAAAGTCAACAGAAATTACTTTCCCTGTCTCAAAACACCAAAAAAAAAGTAGAATTACTATAACAAATTATATAGTTGTCATAGCATTACCAGAAGTATAACTGGCAGAGTTTTTTCATTTTTTCAAAATCAGTGATCAGTGTGTTTTATTTGCATAACTTTATTTATACCTGACACTTGTCTGCTCTATATGGTTTTTTGTTGTTCTTGTTGTTCTTTTTGCAGTTTCCCCATTTCCTGTCAATGCTTAGAGAAAAAAATTAATCCCAACCACTCACCCAGCCACTGGAAGGCATCCTTCTCCCTAGCCTTCCAATTAGAATAATTTCACATTGATCCTAACAGCATTTACTTTGTCTGCTACTGTTTCAACTATTTTTCGAATATTATTTATTTACTTCTACTAAAAGCTACATGAAATAGGTATATACGTACACAGACACACAAACGTGTATGCACATATGTGCACACAGACACACATATTGGTTTAAAATGGTAAACAAATTAAATGTGTAAATATTAAGCTCCTTTAAATTTTATTTTCAAATATAAAAGAACCAGACCACTCTCAAAGAAAATAATTGCAATTGTTGTTCTTTTAAGTGCTTTATTAATTCATGTAATTATTCTGACCTTTGAGAAATAAACATTAAGCAATGACTCTATGCTAATAGATGTTTTAAATGAACATATGGCTTAGTAGAAGGTAATGGTTAATTTGTACATGAATAACAGGATTATCTTAATGATTATGAAAATTGTGAGATTTATATTCTATAGTTCATCTTATTTTACATGTGTCAAAACAATCATTACTTAAGAAACAAAAATAGTATTTTCAGTAAATTGATTAAGATAAAATAGTAGATGAGATAATTCGCTTATTGCAAATCATTTAAACAAGTGGTTAGTAACATCAGATTCACGAGGCTCAATGATGGCTCTAATATTAGCATTGTCTTCACTATCTGTGATTTTTTAAATAAAACCATGGGAATAAAGACACCTTCTCCATATTTACCAAAAGAACCTGGTTTTAAAACAAATGATATACAAGAATCAAGACATCAACTTAATTAAGAAAATTAATCATTTGAAAACATTTTCAGTGACAAATGGTCACCTCTCTCATAGCCCAGGAGTCCCTACCCAACTCTAAGAAGCCATCGGCAGCCAGTGTCTCAGTAGGAAAGTGTTAGCACTGGGTACTTAGGCACACCATGCGCACGCAAACAATCCCAATTAAACTCTGGGTCACACACATGCTCTCAACATAAAATAAAGAGAGGTAATGTTGGAAGAAGAAAGGGCTTAGCTGGTGTGAAACTATAATAGAGAGTGTGCATGTTAAAACAAACTGATATAATTTGCAAAATTACCAAGGACTTAATTAAAGATAAACCAACAAATCTCTCTTTCCCAGAGAAACAAGCCTCTCTTCTTTCCCACATGGTTTTCTAACCATCCCAGTTTTCTACTCCGTTCAAGCGCGGAGCCCTGTGAAAAATTGGTGCCTCCTCTCTCTCTCTCTATAATCTCCCACACCGCTCCTACTTGCTTATCATCTAATGAGGGCTTTGTCTCCAAAATAATAACTTTTTTTTTCACCAGGTCACCTGGGGCATCTCACTGTGAAATACCACCGCTCAATACCAAGGTGTCATGTCATCTTTAGCTATCTTCCATACCTGACAATGATGGCATTCCCTAGCTTCTGCCAACCTTCCTTGGTGTACTATATCTTATTTGTTCTGTGTGGAACAATTCTCTAGTTCTCCTCTTGTGGATCCTCTTCCTCGTTCCAGCTTCACACTGGTGTATTTACCAAGTCTTAGTCATGGAACCCTTCTCTCCTCTAACTAAGTCTGAATTCTTCTGTGCCACTTCCCATGACTGCAGATGCCAAATATATAGCAATGCCTTCTGGTTTTAACTTCTAGTCTGGACTTCTGAACTGTTAGCTCTTGACTTGTCTATTTGGTTGATGAGCATATTCAATTTACTCCACCCAAAAATCACTACTAAACCGGGTCTCTCATATCAAAACTCCTCCTCTCCCTTTTCTGTGAATTGATCAGCGTTCACTTGTTTCTTTAAAACGCCAACATTTTCATGAGTAATTACTTAAAAGGGTAAACCTTCGTAATGAATGAGAGCTGGACAACGAGCAAGTGACTCAACTATATGAAATGAAAGCAGCTTCTCAGAAAACATCTGATGTCCTTGGAATTAATACCAAGGTTGTTGATAATTTTTCTAGGGTCACCTACTACCTTGGAGACCATGTGTAATGATTGGGCAAGAGGCTGTTTGCCTTTGGTATAGGGTTACATCGTCAGACAGGGTGTGTGCTTTCCCAGAAAACTTTACTGTCACAGTAACAGAGAGACTACACTTAAGAAGATCAGACTTGGATGAAGTTGTACCAGCCCAGGGATGTCAGCACGAGACGATTCAGCCTTCTGGGTCAATGTGATGTTTCTGGGGCAGCATGTGGCCACTTGGTAATTTGAGAGATTCTTGTGATCTAACAGGCTCCTAGAGTTGCAATCAAAAGACTGAGTTGTAAATGAGCAGAGAGAAAGGATATTTCCCCTGGCTTCTTGTTTTCTGTCAGTCCCCTTTGGCAAGCTTCTCTACCATGAGTAGGCATGGGAACCAGTTAAAGAAAGTGTCGATTCACTCGAGTAAACGCCGAGAACTCTGGCTTTTGTCTGCGCTGAATGTGTCCGGAAAGGCAAAAAAGAGCGAGATTCTGCTCTGGGGTTTCTCATCCCCATGGCGGTGTGGTAGGTGCTGACAGCCTCAGAGAGTGAACTAGAAGGGCACAGAGAAAAGAGCACGAGATGAGTCCGCTGCAGTCGTGGTGAAGATGAAAAGGTCCCAGGGTTTGGGTCTGTAACTAAGGTAAGAGCTTGCCGTCATATACAAAGTGATCTAAGCCTGAGTTACTCACTCACTCATCTGTTCCTTTAAGCTCATGCTTTCTGCGTTCAGGCTTTTAATGGGCACCTGCATCTTCCATGGTCTATGCAGTCATGTTTTATAATTACAAGGCCAATGACTGGGAATTCCTTTTTTCTTTCCTATCATCTCTAGGGAGTACCAAACCAAACAGACTAAGACTGTAACGTGCAGTTTATAGATATTATTTTTTTTTAAGAAGAGCAACATTCAGACAGAGGGGGACTAAAAGAGGAGTGGCTTCACCGGTGGGATGTTATTTTTGCTGCTTGATGTGGCTTCTGTGGAAGAAGTGAGTCTTTAATTTCCTGTACAAAGAGGCATTCATAAAACAAAGCTATGCTGTACATCTTTGTCACTCTTCCACTGCCTCCAAGTGACAACAAAAGAATAGGAAGAGCTTGAAACTGTGTGATAAGTTCTGCTTATGCAGTGGTTTTGTCACAGTTACTTCTTCACAACTAGAAATATGGGAACGGATTATGATTATTAGAATATGTGCAGAAAGCAACTACTGGTTGTGAAGAGTAACACACCCGACCCCTAAACACGGGAACCTGTTTAGGGACAAATGATCACCAGGCTTTCTAAAATTTAATGTTTACCTTCCATTAATTGCTTCTATTAATTACTTTATTTCAACTGATGCTATCGAGAAAATAATACTCAGGCTATCCCTTGTCTGCAAGCTTTCATTTCACCAGTAGAAAGAAACAGAATCAGAAAGAAAGCAGTTGGACTGTGTGGCGATTCTAAGGCTGTTGTAGGTACAGGATCATGGATTTGGCAGTAAACATCTTATTGGCCACATGAATCTTTGCCTTCCAAAAGCTCCCTTTGATTCCTGTGAGTCTTTGAATCATCCTAAGAACTCAGAGGAGGCTTAGACAGTGTTTGCAGTGCTCCCAAAAAGCTTACCGTCCAGTCAGAATGGACTGCTTAACAAGAGTGACCTTTCCAAGTTTTTCAGTTTCTCCCCACCTCCTTCAGAAAAACCTTTAACAGTATCGGTCCCCAGATAGTATATAATCTCTACTGATACCGTACCTGGCACATAAAGACCACAAACTACATGAAGATAATTTCCATTAGCTCCATTTTCAAGAAGAGGGAAACTCTAGTGCAAAGAGTGACTTAATTTAATAGCTGAACTCAGAGTGATATTCCAACAAATGACTCAGATCCAAGAATCAAGGACATACACTTTGTTCTCAGCTTTGAGAAAAATATCAACTAGTTGTGAATATGCAGTAGGGAAGGTAGACTTTTTCAAAAGGTACTTGTAGCAGCATTATCCACTGGGATGTGTTGCTGCCTTGGCTTTTGCTTCAGTAGCTGTGTTGCACCCCTGGGCCTCATTCTGCTGATGAGCAGTCTCTGTGGTTAGTGATGTAGCTGAGGTCAGAGATGGTATGTTGGGATGGGCTGGCATGAGGAAGAAGCATGATGATTTAGGGCCAGGCACATTCTCTTCTGGTAATGGTGTAATAAAGATTAACCATTTTATATTTTGATCTTTTAAGCTGGTTCATATCAAAGCATCCACTATTGAGGAAATCTGCCCAATAGCTTCATCTCTGATTGACATGTGATTGTTTCAGGTCAGCCCTTGTTTGACTCAACTACTTAACGTTAGTTTACAACTTCTAAACATTGATAGAACTTCTTGTTACTCCACAGGGCTCTCCAATTTAGTTTTTGTAATTACCTATTTTCAAGGAGTAAAGTAACTAGTCTGGGTTACATGAAGTAAGTGGTCATGATGAGGTTCAAATGCGAATCAGTCTGTCCATTACAATCAGTGCTTACTGGCAAAAGTGAAGACTATATTTGGTTTGAGAAATGATGTATCTGCTGTATTAGGTGATTAGAACATGAGAAACCCTTCATAGGACACAGACGGTGTTTGTGTGTGTGTGTGTGTGTGTGTACATTGGTACAGATACAGGTATAGATATAAAAAAAACACCATTTACAAGAGGAAGTACCTCTAGCCTCACAGGGGATCAGGACACCTGGAGCCCAAAAGCTACTGGCCCAGAATAATTTGTGGTTCTTGAGCATTTCCTGTAGCGTGTGTTTGTTTTCCTCTTTTTTAAAAGACAGAGTCTCTTTAAGTACCCGCATCTGAACTAGAACCCATGATGTAGATCACATTGGCCTTAAACTACTAGCAATTCCCCTGCCTCTGTTTCCCAAGCATTGTGTTAATTAGTATGTGCTACCACATATGACTTCCTGCGTTTTTCTTAATGGTTGCTCAGAAAATCCCAAATCACATGGGAACTGTTTCTCATCCTATTGTTGATTTGTTTTTAAGGTTTGAGCTACAGGCAGATTGCAAAATTAAAAAGAAAGAAAGAAAACAAGCCAACTAAACTATAACAGTCAACACTGATCAAAAGCAAAGATAGCAACCAGGCAAGAAAGGAAGTGACATTTCCTGTTGATATGACAGCAAAACTCACAATTCTCCTTTGACATCAGACGATTCCAGTGCTTGGATCCTAATGAGATGATGATGTCTTTGTGACACTTTTAATTTTAATCCTCTTAGACAGCGACTCACAACTGTTCATCTCCTAATACTGCAGTAAATAGTGTGTGCTTGTTGATGAAAACTTCGCCACATGAAACCCTTTAGCATCTTTTTGTTAAAAGAGAACTTCAGAGTTATCTAGCCCAACTCTTGAACAAATGCAGGAAATTCCTCCACAAACCCTTTGATTACACAAATTTGAAACAAATAGTCCCACGATGGTGTCTATTGTTAAAAATATTAGTGACAAAATATTCTTGTTGATAAGGGTATTAAATTTGTAGCTGTATACTTTCAGTAGGCAGTTCTTAGACTAACATCACAAAGCAGGACCTCTGTCTCATATCATGTGCACAAACACACACACACAAACTTATACATATGGTTTCTGCATGCAAGGGTGTCAGCTTCTCAGATCAGAGTCATGTTTTAAGTGTTTGGGAAAATCTACGTCACCAAATAGTTGATGTTTGTTGGGTGATTCTTTTTTCCTGAGAGATCATTACGAATGGACTAACACCCCTAGTTAGATCATCCACATACCAAAGAAATAATTCCATTCAAGTCTAGAAAAGTGAACTTATGAGGTTTCTGTAGTTACTTCTAGTAAGAGGGATGGCTCAAAGGGCAGCTACACCACTGGGAGGTAGCTTGAGCATCTTGATGACCCCACCAAGAAATCCCACCCCAATCAATTGCTTACATTATCAACAGTGATCATTGGAAGGAATCTGAAGGAGACCTGATGAAGGTCTCATGAGCTATGGCCCTTCAGTCTCCTTCTGTGGGGAATGTTAATAACACTGATCTTATGAGCTTCTCATATGGATGGTTACAGCCACTCAGTCCTAGGGCAGTAATAGGCATGTCCAGCCTAGAAAAAAAAACTGTTTCACTATGATAATTGATAAAGATTTTGAATATGTTTTTATATATTTTGAATGTATATCTTAGTTTCTCCTTCATTCATTTTTTTCTCTTGTTTCCAACTGTCATCGTTACCATTACAATGACTGCTTAAAAATGCTTTCAATAGACCCCCAGATCTAAAATATCTCTACACTTCAACAAATTTTATTATTTTCCCCAGAAATTCTTTATGAATTAAAATCTATTTTTTTAATAGTTGCCTTGAATTTTCTGGGAAAGATGTTTTTCATTCTGTTTGCCATTGTTTCTTATATCTCAGTTTGCTTGCTCCATAGCCTGGGCTGAACTCAGATGAGGTTTTAGGGTCCAGCTTCTTTAATATCCCTGCCTGTGACCTCCTCTAAGCCCTACAGTTAAGGTCAATTTATCTCATGTGTAGCCCTTTCAGCTCCAGGTTCTGAGCTGGAAATTTCCTAGGTTCTTGTTATTATAGCTCTGTAGCACATCTGTGGAGACAAAGATCAACAATCCTAGCAGTTAATTCTGTCCTGAACCTGGATCTAAACTATAAGAAGTAAGTGTCCCCTGACACGTCAATAATGATTCTGCTTCCAACCTTTTCTTTGCTCCTAACAGTGCAAAGCTGTCATGACATCCCAGAAGCATGCTTTCATAGAGACAGCATCTTTCCCACTTTGATATGAGGGTTTGATAGCGGTAAAATATCTTTCTAATAACTGGTTCCTTTACTTCTCTGATCTTTCAGAATTTACCTCAATATCTGACTCTGGGATTTTATTATTAAGACCAATTAGAATTTGTGCTACATCTGGTGCCCAATATGGGGCATGAACCCATAACCCTGAGATTAAGAATCTCATGCTCTACTGACTGAGGTAGCCGTGTGAGTGTCTCAGTGGCAAAGCACTTCCTAGCACAAAACCTTAGGGATAGAATGGGACAAGTTTTTCATATTCCTTTTCTCCCAATCGTTCCTGTTGATCCCAGAAAGTCTACCAAGCTAGTCAAACAGCATTGCTGTATCTGAGGGAGGGGATGATATTGATGCCTAGTTTCCAGGGCTGCTGGGAAAAGAATTAAGCATGTTCCTGGACATGAATTGCCTGACAGTTAAGAAGTTCTTCTCCGATTGAGGATTGTATCACATTTTTGTACTGTCTGTATGTGGCGATCCCTAGATTCAACTTTGTATCTGGGACCTGTGATTGGATAAAACTTGCTAACCTGAATCTACTACACATTAAGCATGATCAGTTCTTTAAATTCCTTAACTCTGTGTTCTCCTTTCCTTGTCTTTCCTCTTTTCTTAGCCATTACGCATATTAAAGCCCTGACAGTCTTTGCTCCACATACTGGTAAATAAACCCTGATGCTCTGGAAGAACAAGTGCTCTTAACTGCTGAGGCATCTCTCCAGACACACAAAATTATTTGTTTTTATTTTATGCATATGAGTGTTTTGTTCTGCATGTATGTGCCTGATGACCGAGGAGGTCATAAGAGGGCATCACTTC